AAGCCGTAACAAATTGATCAATCATAGTCGATTATTCTTTTCATATTAGATTATAATTGGTCAATTTCTTACGTCTTAAAGCTTAAGTCACCTATTGTGGACCGACACTAAGTGATTTAAGCTTTAAGAAGTAAGAAATTGACCAATTATAATCGAATATGAAAAGAATACTCGACTTATGATTAGTCAATTTCTTACGGCTTAAAGATTAAATACTTATTGTGGACCGACACTAATCATAATCGAGTATTCTTTTCATATTCGATTATAATTGATCAATTTTTTACTTCTTAAAGCTTAAATCACCTATTATGGACCGATACTAATACAGACACCAGCGTTTTGACACAGATGCTGATTGGTGGAAAATGAGTAGTGAGGATAAAACGGCGAATGAATCTTTACTATTTACCTCCATTATCCGTTTCGCACCAATCAGTGCTCGGTATCAAAGCGCCGATGTTGCATGCTGCATAAGAATCCAAGCTAATTATTTCTAAGCAAATTTAAATGAATAGTTGTATAATTTGTAAAATAATATTGAATAAAGCCAGTGGCACACGATGCTTTTTTCCTGCTAATTTGCTAGCTGGATTTGCGTGCTTGTGAGTTCTTATCTTCGATTGATATATTATTTTAGATCTAAAAGAATATACCAATCAAAGACAAGAACTCAGTAAACACCCAACTCCAGCAAATTAGCAGGAAAAAAGCATCGTGTGCCGCTAGATTAAGCTAACATATTTAACGTTGATGTGTGACAATTGATGTTGAAAGCAATCAGGAATGATGAGTGAATTTAAATTACATCATCTAATAATGCAGTTGATTGAATTACTGGGGTAAGCGGAAAAATTTACATCTTTGTGGATTTGTAAACTAAGAATCGTAAGATTAATAAACATAATACCTACAACAATTTTACATGTAAATATTTTTTCTAGCTCGGAATCTGCTCCAGAGAGACATTTGGAGAAACTACAAAAGGAAAACTTGACAACGAATGTGCTAAATATTGTTGCACCTCACAGCTGTATTCAATATCTTGCTAAGATTTCATCTCAACCGGAATTATTTATACAGAAATATGAGGAACTAAAGTCGAAAAAAGTTAATAATCTAATATGATATAAATATATATTTTACATGTAATACACTATATATATATATATATATATATGTGTGTGTATATACACACATATACACATATACACACACATATACATACATGTGTGTGTGTATGTGTGTGTGTGTGTGTGTGTGTGTATAGTAGATATATGTATGTATATATATATATATATATATATATATATAAGGATATAAGTAGGATAACAAGATACCAAGAGGGATATTTTTTCAGAATAGATTTATTAGGTCCATTTGTACAGACTTTGGAATTAATATCTCAAGACGAAGAATTAAAAAGATATCTATCACAATCTATATCAAAAGCAGCAGCTAGTTCCCTGAGGGATCCAACTATTACACAGGAAGATTTGCCAAAGGTGAAAATATACAATAAGTATAATATATAAAAATATACAATAAGTATAATATATAAAAATATACAATAAGTATAATATATAAATCTTAAAATATTTTTTTTATTTATATAAATTTTATTTATATAAATATCTCAACTAATTGCTTTTTAAATAAAATATTGATATATAACAAGTATAATTTTTTAAATTACAAGTATATTTTTTTAAATTTACTAGATTTGCAAGACTGTAATTAAAGCTGCCGTGGAAGGAGGAAAAAAATTAAATCAGCAAGTTTGTTTAAATAGTAAAAAAAATGACATTGTTTTAGTAAAGCATAATTGGATTGTAGAACGTCCACGTATAACTTGGGATTTTCATAGCGATACTACTGTGGCACTTTATCAAAGTTCGTAAATAATTTTTTTATGAAATATAAGATTCAAAAACAATAAAATATACATGGAATAATTAAATAATTATTACAGAGGTTGTACCAATTGTATCTCAGGAATGTATACTTCTTTGGGATATCTTGTATTGTTTAAAAGGAATAGATGGCTCATATATTGTTTCGGAACCATTAACAAATCCATATGGTGTTAAAACATTCAGTATATTACCAGATGTTGGTAAGGACCACAAAAATTTTAATCTTAAATACATATAACAATTATAAAAGTAAAATTAAAAATTTTGAGCTTTGTTTTTAGGTATATCATTTAAACAATTAGCACAGCAAATATTACCTTTAGCTTCTTATTATTCCATGACAATGAGATTCGTTGAGGAGAAAGTTTTACCAGATGATGGACAAGTCAATCATGCTTTGAGAGGAGCTATACGATCTCTGTTAAAAGATTACTTGGTTAAATTAACTTTTATAATACAACATTTAAACCTATTAAACATTTCTTTCCTATAAATTAAATATTTAGATATTAATTTTTGTATAATGTATTTTAGCTCTTTATTGTGCAACTGGAAACAGAACATATTCATGGTAAATTAAGTTTGCAGAAACTATGGTTTTATATTCAGCCTACTATGCTTACAATGTCTATACTTTCTCAAATTACATCTACAATATGCAAGGTCAATCTAAAACATCAGTTAATATTTAATTAAATAATTTTGATTATACTTAATTCTAAATATGCATGGAGAAAATATGAATATATATATTTTCTATAATTGAAACAAAGCAGTTATAATAATCAAATGTTTAATTTTAGGCAAATGCTAGAGGAGGCAAAGTATTGAGCCTGCTGCATGAACAAACATTAAATAATATCAGTGGTGAAACAAAGTGTAAAGAATTATGTTTATATCTGATGGAAGCAGCAAGTATACCATATATGCAAATTTTAGAAAAATGGGTTTACAAAGGAGTGATATGTGATCCATATCAGGAAGTTAGCATATCAGATCTTATAATATATGTTATAAATATTTATATAATATATATATTTATATTTATTTATTAGTTTTTTGTAGAAGATAACGAGTTGATTCAAAGGGAAGAACTTCCTGTAGATTATTCTGCGGATTATTGGGAAAAACGATACACTATGCGATTAGAAAGGATACCTGTATTTTTAAACGAACATGCACAAACTATACTCAGAACAGGAAAATATTTTAATGTGATTAGGCAGTGTGGTATGTTTTAAAATAATATAATAGTTTTTACATTTGTTACATTTTTAAAAAGAATAAAAATATTGTTCCTTTTTAAAGCTTGGTTGTCTGTCTGCAGCGTATTGAATTATGACGTCAGAGGCAAGAAATGATATGTAAAAAGTTTCTTGTGTCGTATAGCTTTGTTTTGTACTTTTTCTCTTAAAAACATGATATTTTCATATTCTTAAAACTTGTAAAAAATACCAGAAAGTAAGATATCTGTCCAATAAATCACGTAAAAAATGTAAAATAAATCTTGAAATAATGGTACACTGTTTAGCTATCAGAAATTACCAGATCACTAGATCTAATTGTTTCTGATAGCTAAGCAGTGACCATTATTTCAAGAATTATTTTACACTTTTACGTGATTTATTCGACAGATATCTTACTTTCTGGTATTTTTTATAAGTTTTAAAACACAAAAATATCATGTTTTTAAGGGAAAAGTACAAGATAAAGCTATATGACGCAAGAAACTTTTTACATGTCATTTCTCGTTTCTGACGTCACACAATCCATGTCGCACCGCGAGAAAACTGAGCCTTAAGTAATAAACAGTATTCAAGTAAAATTAATTTTTTGCTCAATTGTATATTGTCAATTTAAAAATTATTTTATAAATTTGATAAATTTATATTTAGGCAAAATAATACAATGGGAAAAACAAGAACCATTAAGTTATCAGTATCAAGGACAAAAATATATAGCTGCTATTGATAGAGCATATTCAGAAGCTGCTAGAAAATTACTAGAGGTATTGATGAAGGAAAATGATTTAATGGGTAGACTACGTAGTGTCAAGAGTTACTTTCTTCTTGCTCAAGGAGATTTTGTGGTAAGTTCAGTTCTTGTTAGTTACATTGGTAATTATCAGTTTTATTTTTTTTTAATTTAAATTTTTATCAAATATTTACTTATTAGATTTCTTTTATATAAGAGTTTGTAAATTCAAAATTTTAAATTTGAATCATAAAAAGGAAATGCATTCTTAAAAATGTTATATTAAATTATTAGCCGAATTTATTATCCCGTTTATAACCATATTCAGAAGTACATTGTGATTTATTTCTTGATTAAATACAATTTATTTTTATTATTTTTTTTTTTTCTAAATATAAACTAGAAATTTAAGGCACGGCTTTCTACAGACATATTGAATTATGTCAGAAGTAAGAAATGACATGCAAAAGATTTTTTGCACCATGTAATTTTATTTTGTATTTTTTTTTTAAACATATTTTCATATTCTTAAAACTTGCAAAAAATATCAGAAAGATCTGTCCAATAGATTATATAAAAGTGTAAAATAATTTTTGAAATAATGATAAACAGCTATAAGAGATTATCAGATCATTAGATCTGATAGCTGAGCAATGACCATTTCAAGAATTATTTTATACTTTAAGTGATCTATTAGACAGATTATTTTATTTTTTGATATTTTTTACAAGTTTTAAGATTATGAAAATATCATGTTTTTAAGGGAAAAATAAAATCACAAAATAAAATTAATATGCGGCGAAATTTTTTGCGTCATTTCTTGCCTCTGATGTCACACAACCCATGTCAAGTCACGAGAGAGCCGAATCTTAAAGTATATTTAAACTTCTATCTTGTCTTACATTTTGTTCTAAATTCTAATAGAAAGATTATCTATATTTTTTCTACGTTTAGAATTAAATTCTTTTTCTCTAAAAACCTAGAGAGAGAACTTCTTTATATGTATGTCTCAAAATTATTATTTTTTATATAAAAGATTTTGTTTAATTTTATATCAGGTCCAATTTATGAACTTGTGCGAGGCCGAATTGAGCAAGAGCATGTATGATATTGTATTACATCGTTTAGCATCTCTTCTCGAAGTTGCCTTACGAATGTCTACTGCAGATTCAGATCCTTATAAAGATGATTTGAAACCGGAATTGCTTCCATATGATTTACAATATCAAATGTTTAGAATACTTTCCATTCAAACTAGAGACGAGAAAGGTATTTTTTTTATTAAAAGTACCATATTTATTCAATTATATTTTATTAAAGAAAATTAATAAGGAGAATTAATTGTCTCTTTGTTATAGAATACTGTTTCCAAGCAGGTAAAATTTTGACTGGTTTAGAAGCTTTTGTCTTCAATTATGATGTTAAATGGCCAGTTTCTTTAATTATTAATAGGAAGGCTATAGCTTGTTATCAAATGTTATTTAGGCATTTATTTTACTGCAAATATGTTGAGAGACTCTTGTGCAGGTAAATTATTTTGTTTTAAAGTTAAAACAATTTAAACTAAACTTTGTAGTTTTAGTAAAATAATTTAAAAATTTGATGGATTATAGAATATGGGTCAGTAATAAAATAGCAAAGACTTTTACACATGAAGTGGCTATGACTTACAGACAAGCATTTTCATTACGACAGAGAATGCTTGATTGTATACAACATCTAGAATATTACATGATGGTAGAAGTTGTGGAACCAAATTGGTTAAAATTTATAAACAAGATGAGCAAGGTTTATGATTTATTTCTTTTTTTTAATTTAAAAAATATAATAAAATGTAATATGTTTTATATTCAAATATAATTTATTTACATGTATATATTTTTGATAATTAATAGGTTAGTAATGTTGATGACGTACTAAGTGTGCATCAAGATTTGCAAGATTGTTACCTGAAAGAATGTATGTTAACGGATCCTGATCTTCTCGGTTGCATCACTGGTATATGCGTTATTTGCATAGAATTCTGCAGTTTTATGCAGGTAAATTTCTTTATA